CTTTTGATGGAGTTACTGTAAATGTATAATATTTAGTGTGTACTATATTTGGCGGAAATTGGATTTTGAACAAGTTAGCGTCGATTTGATTTAATGCATCTTAATGTTCTTCTTTTAATTATAGATATATGTGTGAGACATTTAGCGTTGCACTTGAATCAGCTGATATTGCTTTCTGCCAAAAACGCTAAAAAGAATGCACAGCCAAATGTAATTCGTTTACAGTATGGCATTTATAATTTTTCATTATTGAGATTACGATCAGGTCTGTTATGCACTAATTTAAAGGTACTTGGACACAGATTTGAAATTAATATTTTCTCTATAATATTACGACTTACCTTATAACGGGTATTTTTTACGTGCTGCTAATTTTTATAAATCCGTAAAATTTAAACGCGTAAAATTTCACATAATTTATAAAACGGTGTATGTAAATTTTCAACATCGTATGTGTAAAAGTAATGCTAATTGCCATTAAGCCCACTCCCTGGAGGCTATATAATTAGTGTACTGTTAGTTTTGAACACTTTTAAGTCAATCATCAATTGGGATCATAGAGGTAAATCTCAATTAACTTGTAAAAATTATACAAACATCGTCAATTAATTAATCAGTTAGACCTACCTGGTTACTTTTTTATTTGTATTTTCATGAGTCAGACGCATGAATTCTGATAATGACTTAATAATTACAGGTCTTTCAATTATACCCATGTTTTCAATCTTCGACACTTTCTTCTGTTTCATGTGCTTTGAATAAAACTTCGTATTACACTGTACATGTATACTTTCACTTCAATTATGATAGTTTGAGTTGTTTCTCTTGTTTTTGGTAAATCCAGACGAGCACGTGGTGTGCCTATTAGCTATGTCATGTGTTTTATTAAACATGAATAAATGAAGGGTACATGGTTTGTGTATATAAAGGTAAATGATAATTTTTTTAATACATTATATAATTTGTTGCATTGTTTATATTGTTATAATTTAATAAATCTCTCTCTCTCTCTCTCTCACATCGGGTTTCCAGACACATTATTTGTATGTAAACCGCATTAAAGTGCTAACAATCAGTGATCTGGAATTTTACATCTGATGATTTTAATTTTTACGGACATGTTCAATTCGTAAAAAATTAACATGTAAAAATTTAAATCACCCTGTTTTGACCAAAATTCGTAAAAATTTACAGCAGTAAAAATTACCCGTTATACGGTATATATTTTAATAGCATTTCACACAAAAAATAATTAAAAATCTTATTTCATGTAAAAGTTATTAAAATTTTAATTTTTTTGCGGGTTTGATTGACACTTCCTTGCACTTTCACAAATTTTAACTTTATTCTTAATCCTTAGGAAAAGTGGCAATCTTGTTGTGTATTAATGAAAAATATTAATACTATAATCCAGAAAATTCAGAATAAACATGTTCAAAAGCAAAACAAACATACAATAAAATGTCAGTCAGTGCAGTTGTGGTGAGCAGACTTTGGCGATTGAACGCACCCGGTGAATCGAAAACATCAAACAATAACAGGTCCGTGCCCTGTTTACAAAAACTGTGTACATAACGCGAGTGTGCTCGATTTGCTACACTCTGTACACAACAGAATGACGATACTTGTGAAGGAGTTTTGCTTTCTAACATTTCTACTCTGAATAAAATTATTTTTCTGGATTTACTTTTTAATATATCACATGCATACACAACAAAATTGCCACTTTTCCTAAGGATTAAGAATAAAGTTAAAATTTGTGAAAGTGCAAGGATGTGTCAATCAAACCCGCCCAAAAATTTAAAGTTTTAATAACGATTAATCGGTATATTTCAGCACATTTTTTTTTTTTTTACAGTTTTCACACTTTTATTTCAAGAACAGGCTCTTGTTATCAAATTATATATCTTTTAAGAGTTGTCCTTTACTATTTTAAACTACATGTACTTAAAATCTGTTTAAAATAAATCATAAGATAATGATATTTGTATTTTGTAACTAAAGAAACTAAACTACTTGTATAAATGAAATATATTAGTTTTCAGTATTTGGGGAAATTCACCTGTCATTTCATAACATTTTAGATGATCATGTAAAACCTGATCTGTCAAAGCTTACTTTTCCCAGGCCAAGTAATTTTTAATCATGCAAAAATCTGTATTACTGAAATTGTTAATCAAACTGCATAAATACTGTTTTTAGAATTTCAATTTTTACAATGCACCTTTACTTACATTATTTAAAAATAAAATTCTAAATTTTATAAAATCTAATGCCTATTTAATGCAAAGGGTTACCGATTCGATTGGCCGATGATCAGTTGGTTAGGGTTAACCGATGCTACTGATTAATCGATTCAGATTTTCAACCGATTTGACAACACTATTCGTGATATCATACAAAAATTACTAACTTCAAATCTGTGTCCAAGTACCTTTAAAGTTCCAAACAAGCTTGTATCCGAAAAAGAAATGGGGAATCCAGTAGAGAACATGTATTGCTTATGCAATACTCTCAGAATGCTTCTTTCACTATGTCACAAACTTCTGACTGCCATTCACTATAAAGTTGACACCACTTTTCTCCATTTTGAATTTAACTTATTTTCAAGACCTATTCGACTGTGTCTCTATTGTCTTACCTCAACCTCACCATTCTTTTTAGCTCACCTGAGCCAAAGGTTCAAATGAGCTTTTCTGATCACATTTTGTCTGGCCTCCGTCTGTCTAGCTGTCCATCTGTCTGCAAACTTTTCACATTTTCGACTTCTTCTCAAGAACCGCTGGGCCAGTTTCAACCAAACTTGCCACATAGCATCCTTGGGTGAAGGGGATTCAAGTTTGTTCAAATGAAGGACCACGCCCTCAATCAAGGGGAGATAATTGGGAATTGATGAAATTTGGTGTTGTGTTTTGAAAATCTTCTCAAGAACCACTGTGCCAGGAAAGATGAAACTTAAGGGGAAACATCCTCAGGTGGTGTAAATTCAAGTTCACATCATGACCCCTGGGGGTAGGGCGGGGCCACAATGGCCGACCAAAGTTTTACATAGAAATATATAGGAAAATTCTTTAAAATCATCTTATCAAGAATAGCAAAGCCATGATTGGTCGTGGGCGTTTGGATTTAAACTATTCAATAATAAACCAATTTCTACTTGTTCCTAGCCACAGTGCTCAGGTGAGCGATGTGGCCCATGGGCCTCTTGTTTTAAGTTGTGGATCTATTCATAACATTGTTCTCATAAATCAGTGAGCTTTGCAAGTGTGACATAATTTTCTGACCTAACTTTCCTTACTTGTCACTTTAACTGCCATTTATCTGAGCTGAAGGGTATAGTGAGCATAACTTTCTGTTATAAGAGTCTGGTATCGATCTGCCTTTGTGTTTGTCATAAGTTGTCTGTAATCATTTTACATTTTCAAATTATTCAAGGTACATTTTCTGGTTCCCTGTTTGCATTATAACGATCAGAGCAGTCAAGATTCTTCTTTGACCTCCAGTTTTTCTGTGTTTTCAGGAGCGTCGATCCCACCGAGACATACATCAACATTCTAAAGGGAACATATTGACTAAAACCACACCTAAAAGAGAGGGTAAGATTCATGTCTTGAACCTTGTTTTCACAAAAGAGAAAGTGTATGCTGACCCAGAAGGATCCCAACAGCAGTCAAGAAGAGAAGAGGAGGTAAGATTCACAGTGTACATCTTACAGGCTTTCTTGATCTTTACCTCGCCAAATGATGTTGATTGTATCAGCATTTGACCTCTAAACTTCCAATTGACAGGATGCGCAACAAGCGGCAAAGCCCACCCAAGCCAAGCCCAGCCCAGCCCAACCCACCGCATCCCAACCAAGATCAACCAAGCCGAAGATCCAGCGCAGCCCAATCCAGTCCAGCCGAGGATCCAATTCCGCTACCAGGAACCCTAACAGAGAAGCATTTTGAATTTATTTCTTTCCTTCTGTCTCTTCTCTGTCTTCTGAGCACTTCCCTAATCTAACAGAACTAACCATGCCCTACCCCTTAACATAGATTTTGTTGTAATTTCGTAGAATTTGTGTGCTTTGTTTCATTGTTTTGAATTTTTACTAATCTCGTCTCAGTTGTATATTTTCAGGCGCTCGGACGTGGTACAACGCGGGAGCACCCAGCCAGCCAGCCAGCCAGCCAGCCAGCCGTCATCCAGCCAGCCACAGATGAAGAGGAAGGAGCCCATTGCCCAGCTTTGTCTAGTGGCTTACATTTGCCAAGGCGGTGAGTTACAGGCTGCTATTGTAGCACTTCCGGATCCCTGTTTTGCATTTTAACTTGATCAGAGCAGTTAGGGTTCTTCTTTTGACCTCCTGATTTTCTGTGTTTTCAGGAGCGTCGATCCCACCGAGACGAACAACAGCATTCTGGGAAGCAAGGATCGACTGCGACCGCACATGAAAGAGAGGGTAAGATTCATGTGCAACCTGAATTGACTGTCTTGATTTATCTTTTCCCCATCTCACTTGATGAGATCTCTCTTGACGTCTTGTCTTTCTACTGTAGATATGCGGTTTGATGCAGCCCTCTATTCCGAGTCCTTTGAAGTGGAGTCTGCCAACCCTGGGACGGTAAGATACTTTGTGCACGTCTCGCGCTCTGTGAACTTTTTCTTCATTTTGACTCTCTAGTCTTGACACACTTTTTTGACTACTCCACCTTTGGTGTTAACAGTTCAGGGTAAGGCTGTTGTGGATTCCCAGTTGAATTAAGGACTGCCGCCTGCCAGAAGAAGTGCAAAGAGTTCAGGGACGTACTGCGGCCAACTCCAGCATTGAAGGTAAGAGGATGCACAATGAGTGTACACCTTCTATTCTGTGGACTTTTGTTACCCCTACCTTGTTGTGGATGTGTTGCTTGGGGTTTGACCTGTGCACATCTTTGTTAACAGGTATGGAGTTGGACTGGTCTGGTTGCGTTGAAGAATAGCAGACCGTGACCAGTAGGCAGCAGTTCTGTGATGTACTGCGGTCAATCCCTGACGTGCAGGTAAGACGCAGCATGCACATCTTGCGGTGTGTCCACTTTCGTTACTCTGTGTTTGTGTTAAATGGTATCATAACTTTGCTCTTTGCACTAGCTGAAATTTTGTCAACTCTTAGGAATTTGTTTTGATGTCTTGATTTTGCTTTGTTAGCAGAAGCGGAGGTGTATGCTGACCCGGAAGGATCCCAACAGCAGTCAAGAAGAGAAGAGGAGGTAAGATTCACACTGTACATCTTACAGGTTTTCTTGATCTTTACCTCGCCAAATGATGTTGACCGTATCAGCATTTGACCTCTTAACTTCCAATTGACAGGATGCGCAGCAAGCAGCGGAGCCCACCCGAGCCCAGCCCACCGCAGCCCAGCCCAGCCAAGGATGCAGCGCAGCGCAATCCAGGCCAGCCGAGGATCCAATTCCGCTACCAGGAACCCTAACAGAGAAGCATTTTGAATTTATTTCTTTCCTTCTGTCTCTTCTCTGTCTTCTGAGCACTTCCCTAATCTAACAGAACTAACCATGCCCTACCCCTTAACATAGATTTTGTTGTAATTTCACCGAATTTGTGTGCTTTGTTTCATTGTTTTGAATTTTTACTAATCTCGTCTCAGTTGTATATTTTCAGGCGCTCGGACGTGGTACAACGCGGGAGCACCCAGCCAGCCAGCCAGCCGCCAGCCAGCCGCCATCCAGCCAGCCACAGATGTAGAGGAAGGAGCCCATTGCCCAGCTTTGTCTAGTGGCTTACATTTGCCAAGGCGGTGAGATACAGGCTGCTATTGTAGCACTTCCGGATCCCTGTTTTGCATTTTAACTTGATCAGAGCAGTTAGGGTTCTTCTTTTGACCTCCTGATTTTCTGTGTTTTCAGGAGCGTCGATTCCACCGAGACGAACAACAGCATTCTGGGAAGCAAGGATCGACTGCGACCGCACATGAAAGAGAGGGTAAGATTCATGTGCAACCTGAATTGACTGTCTTGATTTATCTTTTCCCCATCTCACTTGATGAGATCTCTCTTGACGTCTTGTCTTTCTACTGTAGATATGCGGTGTGATGCAGCCCTCTATTCCGAGTCCTTTGAAGTGGAGTCTGCCAACCCTGGGACGGTAAGATACTTTGTGCACGTCTCGCGCTCTGTGAACTTTTTCTTCATTTTGACTCTCTAGTCTTGACACACTTTTTTGACTACTCCACCTTTGGTGTTAACAGTTCAGGGTAAGGCTGTTGTGGATTCCCAGTTGAATTGTGGACTGCGGCCTGCCAGAAGAAGTGCAAAGAGTTCAGGGACGTACTGCGGCCAACTCCAGCATTGAAGGTAAGAGGATGCACAATGAGTGTACACCTTCTATTCTGTGGACTTTTGTTACCCCTACCTTGTTGTGGATGTGTTGCTTGGGGTTTGACCTGTGCACATCTTTGTTAACAGGTATGGAGTTGGACTGGTCTGGTTGAAGAATAGCAGACCGTGACCAGTAGGCAGCAGTTCTGTGATGTACTGCGGTCAATCCCTGACGTGCAGGTAAGACGCAGCATGCACATCTTGCGGTGTGTCCACTTTCGTTACTCTGTGTTTGTGTTAAATGGTATCATAACTTTGCTCTTTGCACTAGCTGAAATTTTGTCAACTCTTAGGAATTTGTTTTGATGTCTTGATTTTGCTTTGTTAGCAGAAGCGGAGGTGTATGCTGACCCGGAAGGATCCCAACAGCAGTCAAGAAGAGAAGAGGAGGTAAGATTCACACTGTACATCTTACAGGCTTTCTTGATCTTTACCTCGCCAAATGATGTTGACCGTATCAGCATTTGACCTCTTAACTTCCAATTGACAGGATGCGCAGCAAGCAGCGGAGCCCACCCGAGCCCAGCCCACCGCAGCCCAGTCCAGTCCAGCCCAGCCCAGCCCAGCCAAGGATGCAGCGCAGCCAAATCCAGTCCAGCCGAGGATCCAATTCCGCTACCAGGAACCCTAACAGAGAAGCATTTTGAATTTATTTCTTTCCTTCTGTCTCTTCTCTGTCTTCTGAGCACTTCCCTAATCTAACAGAACTAACCATGCCCTACCCCTTAACATAGATTTTGTTTTAATTTCATAGAATTTCTGTGCTTTGTTTCATTGTTTTGAATTTTTACTAATCTCGTCTCAGTTGTATATTTTCAGGCACTTGGATGTGGTACGACGCAGGAGCAGCCAACTAGCCACAGATACAGAGGAAGGAGCCAATTCTAACAAACTCTTAACAAATCATCATAACAAACTACCAACAAATCATCGTAACCAACCAATAACAAATTATCCTAACAAGTAGGGGTGGGACAATATACAGATCTTGCGATACAATACATATCTTAATACATTGACATGATACGATACGTATCTAAATATTATGATGAATTGTAAAAATATTCAAAAAATTAGTACTTTATTTGATTTTTTGTCTTGACATTAAATCAATATAATAAATTATAAAACTATTCGAAAGAATAAGTATTTTATTTCATTTTTTTGTCTTGACATTTAATCAACAAATTAACCTATATCAAATCATATGTGCTTTGAAATGAATTCTTGAAGTTCATCAATTTCATTGACTAAAATTTTACAAAAATAATAATGCTTGTACATATTACCAAATTTATTAATAAGTTGTTTACAAATAGTTGTGTAATTCAACAAGGAACACTGACTAAAAATTCTTTTAAAAAACAGCACATATACATTATTATGAATTGCTGAAAATCAGTAGCTAAGTTGAGATTACAAAAAAATCCAATTTTTTCTGGAAACGATACGTTCTGTGTATAGCACACTACATACTAAACTTTTCATGTCCAATTTTCCAAAGCTGCTTAAAAGTGAAAACGTTTTACACCTAATCAATGACTTATTAGTTCTAAAGTGTGTTTTCAATTTCAACATCATCTCTTCACTTCGTACAAGCCGCCATTTTCCTAGGACGGGTAATTTCATTTTTAATTTTTGGATAGTTCGTTCGTGTATTGTTTCATATCAATATTTTAATTCTTGTATCGTAAACCGTATCTTAGAGGAAAATATCATTATGTATCAGTATATCGTCCCACCCCTACTAACAAGCAACTAAAACTACTAACAGTCTGCTAAATGTTGTGTGATGCGTCTAGTGTGTTGGTGTTAGTGTCTGTGTGCTTGTCACCTCTCGCTTTCAGCCATCACCGCTGGCTAGCAGAAATGCGAAAAGGGAATGTCGTCCCCTGCCAGTACATAGCCTCTCCACAACAAGTCCTATGCGATGCCTCCACGTGGAAGCAGACGGATACTGGGCACTTTTGGTCCCAGGCTAAGTTCACAAGGGCGAACAGGAAGATGAATCTTGAAAGCCTTTTCTGGCACCTCATCTAACATCTTCATTAGCTAATGGTTTCTGAAATGCCACTCTCCTCATAATCCCTCTGCATACAGTGCTGTGAAAAGACTGAATTGGTTTAGTCATGTGATCTCAAATTTTGAACAGGTACGCACAAATTGCATCATCATCAGAAATAAATGACGCATTGATTCTTCATTTGTTATATAAATGTGCAAATGTATATCTTCAGTATAGATTCTAATACATATTTTGCACATATCTTAAGATTTTTGATGACACCATGTCTATTCATAGAATAGCATATGACCATTGTTCACAAGAGTAAAGAGTCAAAATATGTCACGAATGCAGATATGGTCATTTACAAAAAACAAATGCTGGTTGGTCAAAGTCGATAACTTCAATCACAACTTGAAAAAAAAATCCCAACTTTTTTTAAATACGTACCATATGCCAAGGACTTATGAGGAGAGTAGCGAATCAGAAACCCTTGGCTAGAGGAGATGCTCATCTAGGAGAGAAAACTGATCACAACCTGATTTAGTAGGAGACTCCAATGATATAAGTGCTGGCTATTTATCCATATTGAAATAGAAGTGAACCTTTGTCCATTGTCTGTTGTCATCTTTGTTGAATGTAAACTCTCATATTTTCTTCTTCAGAACTACTGGGCCAAATTCAACCAAACTTGGCACCAAATATCTTGGGTAAATGGGATTCAAGTTTATTAAAATATTGGCCCACACCCTTTTCCAAGGGGAAATTATTACAAACAAGTGAACAATTAATGACATCTTAGACTTTTAAAATTCTATGCTATGTATATATTTTAAGAAATGAAATAGATTGTTTTATACAAGTTTTGTATTTTTGACTGAATACATTATATAACAGTATACCTAGATTCTGTTTAGTTCCCCATTGATGGATTATGCTTTGTTCCTCTCTCCTTTACTGATATGTAATGAAGAGAGGGATAAAACGTTATCAGCTGTGGGTTTCAGATGATGCCATCCACCCTTTATGAATTTATAGGAAACTCTCTTTAGGTGTGCATGATGCAACTTCCTGGATGGTGTATAGTCTTTCTTTCAACGTGTGAAACCTAGGCAAGTGAATTTTTGGGTAGGCATGCTATCTTGATTTTTGTCCTATACTTGCCACTCGGGGCCAATGAGCAGGGATGGATATCTTTTGTGCTAGCAGCTACTGCGACATGGGGCCTCGGTTAATACGGTCTCATCCAAATGGCTGGTCTCCATGTCCCACAGTGGGAATCAAACTTGCAGTGTAAGGATCAACTCCTTAATTTGCAACTCTATCTAGAGCATTATGCACTAACCACTGTGCCACTCAGTTTTGAATGAGAAGAGACGGGGCTTTCATATGAAACGTACCGGTATATAACCTGTGACAAGACCTTTTTAAATGCACTATGATTTTTTGACCTCGTGACCTTGACCTTGAATTTTGACCTACTTTTTAAAAGCTTTAACCTTGGTTATAACATTTGAATGAGAAAAGATAGGGTTTTCATATTAGACCTGTGTATTGCCTGTAAAAAGACCCTTCTAAATACGCTATGATATTCAATTCAGTTTGGCCTACTTTTAAAAGACTTAAAATTGGCCATAACTTTTGAATGGGAAAACAGGGCTTTGATACTAAAGATGTATTATCTGTGACTAGACCTTTCTTAATACACTATGATTTTTTTACCACATGACCTTTTTCTTGAAGTTTGATCTAATTTTTGGGGGTTCTGGAGTTGGAATGGGGTGGCTTAATTGATTACCGGTAGATAGTGAAATATATAGTGAAAATGCATTAATTATTTGAAAATCTTCTCCACTGCTCCTGGGAATTAAGCTACTGAATTTGATACACAGTTATGATGAAGAAAAGTGCCTCTTCCCAAATTATGAATTTTATGCCCCCAGGGTCAGGGGTTCCTGGGGGGTGGGGCTCTAATAAATACTGAAAATGAATTAATTCTTTAAAAAATCTGCTCCGTTATATTAATCAAACATTTAAAATGGACAATGGTACCTTTTTCAAAATTGTGAAATGTGTGGACTTAAGGTAGGGGTTTTTGTGGGATGGGCCACTACTGATTATTGCTGAATATTACTGATTAGTTGAAATGCATTTTTTTTATTCCCCTAATCTGTGTATATGTATTAAATAACCATTCTAAACATGCTAAGTGAATAGTTATGATTAGCAATGCTGCCTCTTTCAAAATTGAGAATGTCATGCCCTCTGATTTAAAACATAAACCAAATTCAATTGTTTAAAGTTGTTGCATGCTGCTCAGGTGACCTCTAAGGCCCATGGGCCTTTGTTTATTTCACCTCAACGAAGTTAGGGGGAACTTATGTGATACTTCAGTGTAGGTGTCTGTGTCAGCATCCCAGGTTAAGGTTTTTGGAGCTTAATTTTCTTTGTAAGTAGTTCTATGCCATTTATTGAT